AAGTGTGTGTTGTGTGTGTTTTAATAAAGACTCCTCCTTCAGTGGTGGTGTATACTTCTACGAAGAAGTTGTTTCTGGTTGTCTCTTTTAGGGGGATGTTAACAGCCTTTGACTATTGCCTAGATCCATTATTTCCCTAGGAGTTAAAAATGGTAATGTAATTCTATCATAGGAAAGTCATTTTCTATGGCCACACAGTTAATGGAAAAGGCAGCACATAACTCCATATGCCTCTAAAGCCTGTGCTGTGTGCACCATGCTGTCCAAACCTCCACTGGGAGGATCTTAACTCATTACACAGTTCACTTAGACTTCCTGGCCTCCTGTTCCTACTCTTGCGGCTGCACTGGGATGACATTATCATTGTCATTGTTTCTATTGATCTTCAGTGGGGCCGTTATTTCCTCTGACCCTTTCTCTGTTCCCTTTTCTTTCTGCCTGATTTCATTTCCAGTTACACACTTCTTTCCAAGAGACTTTAGTAGACAAATCCCAAGCATTTATTGATTTGTGCATGAAACTCTCCCAGGTGCCATGGGATATGAGGTTGATCAGACACATTCCTTGGGCTGACATTGCTCATAATCTAGTGAGGCTGGTAGTAAATACCCACAATGTGTGTGTTAAGCCCAGAGGGGAGGAGTGCAGGAGTGAGAGTTATGCTATAGAAAGTGTAGAGGAGAGCGATCGACTCCTGTGCACCTAGAAGTGAGGACAGGGTTCTCAGAATGGCTGAGATTCAAGCCAGGACAGGGACTGGGTTCTGCCACCCCAACTCTTTAGTGATCTGTGTCCCCCAGCTCCCTTATACTTTCATTTTCCTCCTCGTTTCTGCTGGGGTCAGAAGTAACTCGTTATGCACAGAGTCTTTAAATTACTCCACTTGAGACTGAAGTATCTACTCTCAACTTAAAGGGAATTCTTAACTTGGTTTCTTAACACAAAACACTGATTTCTTTATTTCTTTTTTTTCCCCTGGGGGAAAAGGCATATTATAAATTCATTGTAGTGCTATAGCTAACTTTAGAAATAGCTGGGAATTTTCTCCCTCGTTTCTATTTTGGTCAGTCATATGGTAGATGTGAAATTATTTTTGCAAAGTTAAAAAGCACGGTTCTGTTACAAGAAGTAACTATAGCTGTATATCTGCATTATAGAAATCTGCATCTATGTCACACTGCTGTTTTGGTAAATCTCCTTTAATTAAGAGAAAAAATAAACACAATTCTTTCATGTGTCTTGTTGTGTTGCAGTAAATTGGCTGGATCACAGCCGAACATTCAGAGAACAAGGAGTAGATGAAAACGAAACATTGCTGCTTAGACGGAAGTTCTTTTACTCAGATCAGAATGTAGATTCAAGAGACCCTGTGCAGCTGAACCTGCTTTATGTTCAGGTACAGTATTTACAGCCCAGACACTGGGGCTGGTGAGGTTTCAGGGAACTCCTGGCTGTGTCTTGAGGGTAGCCGGCTTCCGTCCTGAGTGTAGCGTCCAGTTTCTAGCGGGCACTGCTTGTGGGTTCCTCACGTGTGTTTGGTCGCGGTGTGGCTGATGTTCAACACGAGCTGCTGGCCATCCAGAGTAGTGACTCTCTTGGCCTCCCTTTGATGCCCCAGATTGGAACCTGGTGGCCAGTGCTGTCCCTCTCAGCCTGGCTTTAGAGAAAGTTGTATTTCATTGAACTGGCTCACCATTTCAAACGCACTAGAACTTTCTCAGCTATTGTCTTAGAACACAAGAGAATATTGCTCAGAAAATCAGTACTTCTCATTAATTGAAAGATATCCTCCCAATAACCTTTTATATCTTTCCCACTAACTGTTTAAACTCAAAGAAATCATTTAGCATGTCTGAGTTGCAGTTTCCCAGCGTGTAAGGTGTGGCTTTGTAGTAGATTGTGCCCAAGATTTGTTTTAGCTCAAGGAAAACATCATTCATTTTTTCCCACTTCTTCCCTTCCAACTTTTTTTTATCCTTTCATTCCCTCCCTCCTTCCTTCCCTCCCTCCTTCCCTCCCTTTCCTCTTGTTTCACTTATCTACGTATCTGCCTGTAGAGATAAGGCAGGGGTCCGCAACCTCCAATTATACCTTCTGACTGTATTTGCAAATAAAGTTTTATTGGAACACAACTCATTCATTTAAGTGTTACATATTGGTAAGTTCCCTTACGTCCCTTACATATTACATAATTGTTTACTTACTTTCTTTGGCTACTCTTGTGTTCCAGCAGCAGAGTTCATTAGTTGTGATAGACACTGTATAGCCTATAAGGTCTGAAATGTTTACTGTTTGGCCTTTCAGAGTAAAAGTTTGAACCCTGAGTTAGTAGTCAGAAGAACGGCATGGAAAGAGGGCTTAGAGGAAAGAGGCTGGAAGGAAGGGCAATTTCGGGGCAATGAGAGATGCTTGTGGGTTTAATGCTCAAAGTGATAGCCTGCAGTGTCCATCCAAGGGGGGTATGGGGGTTATTTAGCTAGAGAAAGAAAAGACAGAAGAGGGATAAATAGCAACAGCAGTGATGGATCGAGAACTGGGAGAAGGGCTTCACAGTGAGCTCCCCATTCTAGAACTGTTCATTTACTTGCTTTTCCCCTAAACATCTTGAGGATTGAGTTCTTATCTATTTGTGGGTGCATCCATCTGTCTTTCTCTCCTTATATGACACTGGTCTTAATCTTGGCATGGAGGTGGGGTTGATTTTACCTCTAGATATTTTTTCCGATTTAGGGTTATAAAAACTAAATTGTATTTCTATCTCAGTCTCTCTGAATCCGATCGTTTCATAACATTTTTCTTTGCTTGTTTTTTTTTTTTTCATACTCACTTCTGCCTTCCTAGATTATCATCAAGCTTGACTTTTGATATACTGGACGCCTCTAACACTTTCCATCTATAGGCCATTTGGGGCAAAGATTTGTTTTTTCCTTTTGCCCGAATTCTCCTGTGCTACAATCCTCTGCTGCATCCCGAAGCATCAACATGGGTTGGCTGGCCCCTGTACCCGTGCTTACAGAGAGCAGTGCTTGGATGCAGGAATGTGTCAACGGAGAGAAAGTGTCATCCCCCCAAGCCCCTGATGCGTTTCCTTTCTCTTATGTTTCAGGCTCGGGATGATATCCTGAATGGCTCCCACCCTGTCTCCTTCGAGAAAGCTTGTGAGTTTGGTGGATTTCAAGCTCAAATACAATTTGGACCCCATGTGGAACATAAACACAAGCCTGGATTCTTAGAGTAAATAACCTTTTGCTTTTCTGGCTTCTCCTTTCTTCTTTCCTTTCACCTGTTTATTTTTGAGTAAAGTATCCAAACTACACAATCAATTGTGAGAATGTTAGCTTTTACCCAGTTGAGTATATGACCAAATTTGTGACCTTGGGAAAGGCAAGAGACCTAGAAATCCAGTGGTGGGATGACTGTGAAGGTCATCGTTCCAAGTTCAGGCAGTGCATGCTTTCTCTGTTGCAGAACGCCTGCGCACCCCTGCTGCCCAGGCTGCCCTAGGACATCGCTGGAGGTGAGGAGCTTGCCTCCCCATCTTCTAGAACCTCTGCCCATGAGAACGTTTCTTCTTCATAGTGGACCAAATTCTGTCAGCTTTAATTTCTTTTTAAAACTCCTGTCTTAGAACAACAGAGCACACATGAGAAAGATTCACAATCCTGTGAATTATTTATTGCTTTTAACGGGTGATGTACATGTCAAATACTTGATGCACTTTTTCCACCCATTTGTTCTTTGGTTCTCTTTTATAAAATGATGGGGGGGTGGTCTTCTTTTTCCCCACGCCGTGGCTCCAGACCTTGAGATTCAAGGGAAGGCCAACCCTACAGGTCCATCATGGCCCCACAGAACATGGGCCTTAGGGTTTGGTCTCTTGGAAAGGCCTCGCAGGACAATCACAGCCGTTCATGAGCTGCTGTTTGTCTGATGTTGTCTTCCCCTCTGCTTTGATCTGGACTTGTAAAGAGCTTCGTATATTTCTTCCTCGATGATATTTCTTTATCTGTGTTCCCCCTCTCCCCACCTTTCCTTCTCCCTTCTGCTTCCACTTAGTGCAGACAAAACATCTGAGTGAGCCAAAAAGAAAAATCACTGCGGAGTCTCAATGTCAAGCTGTTGCCTGAAGTGCAACTTGTGGAGGGTCTGGAATTGGGGACCTGCTGTGAATGCTGACTGGGGGGTGGGAAGACATGAGCTCTTGCAGGATGTGCCAGCCAGCATGGGAGGTGTGGGCAGGTCATTCATCATATTGTGTCCAAGTGTACAGAATGGAGAGGGTAATGTGAAGGCTTATTTAGCCTTTGGCCCCACTTTTACTCTGATGGAAAGTAATAGAGACCAGCATATGCCCTTGAGTAAGAAGAAAACCTGATGTTTCTCCTGGTGGCAGAGAATGCCCAGCCAATATACTGTTTGGTCTAAACTGAGATGATACCAAAAAAAAATAAACTAAAACCAAAAAACACCAACTCTACCCTTGGGCTAATGAATCTCAGGGAGCCTTTCCAAGGTGATACTTTGTCCTACAATCTACATACAGTGACCTTGAGTCTGAGTGTGGCTCTGAGTAGTTCCTGTCACTTACTTTATTCCACATTCTCCATATGAGTAGTAAGGCCACGTGTTCCTCAGGGCCCTTCCACCAGCTAGTCTGGCTCCCTTCTGCAGGAGCCTTGGGAAGCCTGCCTTTCTGGTCAGACCCTTTAGCAAAGATCATGAGCACATGTGCTTCCAGTAGTTTCCATGTTCTTGTATTCTAACTGGAGGGCTGCTCCCTCAGCTACATTTAACATTGTAAACCTGAGGATTATGGCCACAGATAGTGATAGTTAAACACCAAGAACTCATTAGGCCTTGTAGGAAACATTTTGTTTTCTATCTCTCTAGAGTGACTTATGAATAGGAGAAAATGGAGGGAAGATTGATGAACCAAAAATTTTTTAAATAAAGATTTACCTATTTATAGGCTGTTATAGCTGCAAATCTGCATGGCCCCGGTGGGAAGGAGATCAGGTGCGACCATTCGTTGGGTACCTACACTGCTGCTACTCTCCTCATTTCATTAGTGCCTTTTCTCCAGAGCCCTGGGATTTTCAGGGCACTTTGTGAATTGAGAAAGCACTACTTTATGTGGTAGATGTAGAAGAGGAAGCACAGAGAGAAGTGGCTTGTTCACGGTTACTTATGTAGGTTTTTCTGCAAATAGCTTCTGTCAAAGGCCTTCCTGCTTTCAGGGCAAGGTTGCTACTTTCACTGGTCTCCCAATATGCAGCAAAATCAGGATGGTGCTTAAAAATGTGGTTTTGATCTCTTTCCTCGTGTCATCGGTTGTACCGTCCAAATCATGGTGAATGTGACTGTACTGATGCCTGCTTGTGCTGAGATTGCAAACCTAATAATATCGGAGTGTTGGTATTGGTCTTAACCACGTGTACTGCAATTTACAGTTCTTTTGAATGCTGCCTACTCACACTCCAGTAAAAATGTCTTTCTCTTAATAGTCAGTTTTCTTTCTCTCATATTATAATACGAAGCCCATGCCTCTAGTGGTATGTGTACCTTTACTCAGATTGCAAATTAAAACAGGCTTATTATGCCTGGTGGCAATTATTTTTTCTTACGAATTTGATTTACTTTTTAATTAGATCAAATCTAGTCTAGGAAGTGAGGCATTTTCATTTAATGTAGACATTTAATTGTGTAAGTTGTTGCTCAGACCATACAGGTAAAACTTCCTGAGGATAAATGTCCCCTCTTAATTAAAAGAAAACAGTGAGACCGTATTTCCCTGATTGGCAAGTTGGGGAGTCGGATCCTGTTTTCATCTGGGCTGTTCCTGGTGACTGGCTGGGCTGCGTTTTGCAGCCTTTATGTCTTTCCCCATGTAGCTTTCATAGGTGCTATCCAGTTGAACAGTTCAGAGTTTTAAAAAAATAATAATGAGAAGGTTGAACTTGTGACAGGGCCAGGTTGAAGTTACGGCCACCATAAATTTCAGTTACGTAGTTTCTGAGTGAGGTACATAATAAGTTTAATAAGTCCATTTCTTTTAATTTTTTGAAAATTTGTTGAGCATTTTTGCTCAAAGTCAGCATAATATAGACATTTTTATGAGATTCTCTTTCAACGTTTTTCGGACTCTTCAATGATTTGTGGATTCAGAACCATCTTAATGAAGATATCCATTTATAATAATAAAAATTAGAGACTTAAAGGTTTTAAGAGTTTTCAGGGATTTAAGATCTATAAATCTACTATAGAGTAGATTTATACATCTGCTATACTTAAATCTATAGAGTAGATATCCCATTTGCTCTATAGATGGGAAAAATAGTGCTAGAGAGAGACAGAGATAAGGCAAGGAATTGTCAAGAGGTGGAAGCCAGAAGAAAGCCAGGTCTCCCAAATTGAGTCTGTGCTTTATCTACATGACAGTTTTCCTCAGGTCACCTCTAAAGAGCCCCAGAAAGGGACAATTTATTGGAGCATGTAGTAAAAACAACACATAATCTAATAATCAGGTATTTGCTTTATGTTCTGTGTTCTGAAAATGCTTACAGAAAATAGGCCATGTGTTCTTCTTTAACTTATTGAAACTTGCATGTGTGTTCTGTTGTGCCAGATATAGGGAAGATACAAGGGGCATATTTCTTGCTGGTTTTGGCCTGTAGTCTATGTGGCGGATAAGCATATGAAATGGTTTTTACTGAGAGCCAAAAGTTGGCTCTGATTTCAACGAAGTCCACCCTTTTAATTGTGTTTTAAATGCAGGATGGTCTATGTAGGGTGCCGAAAGTTGCACCTCCAGCTATGGGGACTACTATGAATTGTTTCTAGAAAGGTGGGAAGAGTATGGTACAAGCAGCCATGTTGATCAAAGAAACTGACAAAACAGAAGGTAAATCTAAAGAAGAACAAACTCTTAAAACAGCAACGACAATACATTATAATAATGACTAGTTTCAGGACCCTTAAAAACATGGTGGAAAACTTTAAAAAGCAAGTGATCAAAGTAAAAGCTTTCTATAGACTTATTGTATTGGAGAAGATTAGAGTTACTGATAAAGTTGAGACCTTAAGTATTGATCAAAGTAAAAGCTTTCTATAGACTTATTGTATTGGAGAAGATTAGAGTTACTGATAAACTTTAGACCCTTAAAAACATGGTGGAAAACTTTAAAAAGCAAGTGATCAAAGTAAAAGCTTTCTATAGACTTATTGTATTGGAGAAGATTAGAGTTACTGATAAAGTTGAGACCTTAAGTATACCTGATAAAATTGAAGGTGGACTGTAGGTGATGGATATAGAATGTTCATTGCACAATACCTTTTTTTTTGGCAGCTGACCAGTAAGGGGATCCAAACCCTTGACCTTGGTGTTATCAGTACCACACTCTAACCAAGTGAGCTAATTGGCAAGAACCCCCCACCCCTTTGTCTGGTGGCTGGCGGGTACAGAGATTGAACCCTGGACCTTGGTGTTACCAGCACCATGCTCTAACCAATTGAGCTAACCAGCTTTGTTGCATAATTATTTCAGCATTTTAGTGTGTTTGAAATTTCTCATAATAAAAAGTGAAAAAAAATCGAAGGTAGCCTAAGAAAATAGAAATTGACTATATATGGAAACAGTGAGAGACCAGACTTGACCAATTCTTTAATAAAATTTTAATTACTGGTAAAAACGAACAAGAAATAGACTATGTAACTCCCAAATGGGTGGGGGTACGGTGGGAATAACCAATACAATAGGAGTTGTGCAGGGTAGATTACGGAAACAAAGCCAGAAAAAATACAGTGACTAGAATAGAATAAGATAACAGTAAATTCAGCTGTGCGCCACATAACGTTTTAGTCAACAATGGACCACATATATGATGTTGGTTCCATAATATTACAATGGCTATACCATATAGCCTAGGTACGTAGTAGGCTATACCATCTAGGTTTGTGTAACTACACTCTATGATGGTTGCACAATGATGAAATCACCTAATGACACATTTCTCGGAATGTAACCCATCTTGGGCAACACATGACTGTACTTCCAAATATATTAGGCATCATAACAAACGTAAGTCAAACTCAGTAATTGATAGAGATTCTCATATCAGATGGAATATTTTAAAGGTCTAGATCTGTACTAGAAGACACACTTAAAATTTAAGGACAGAGAAGAGTTTAAAGTGAGCGCATAGAAAATGATGTACCAGGAAATTATGAGCATACTA